AACAATGGCTGTCAGTTGGTGCTGAGGTCGAGTTATTGCAAAAAATCCACAAGTAAGAAAAGGTGCCGTGAATGTCAGACTAAATCGACCTATTGAACCATTGAGTATATCGAACTCTTTTGTGTTACGATTGGCCCAATGGATATGATTTTCCAACATTATTATGCGTTAAAGCTTCGTTCGGAGACACCAGGGTTGAGTTGTGCAGTGTTAAATCTCAGATCACCACCTGTCGAAATACCTTAAAAGCCAGTTTCATGAAAGTAATTTAATGATTTTTTTTTTTTACTTGAATTTAACATGGAACCTGACAGCAAAAAATCATTTTTTACTTAAATTAGGTGCAATCCCGTATTCCTCAGACTAAAACTAGTAAAACTGTCAAAAAATAAAAATTCGCTCAGAGCGAGAGAGTAACATTGGAAAGTACGGGATCGCTTTCTAGTAAAAAATGGTAACTTCTGTAAACTTCAAGAAAACCTCCAAATTTTGGTTGTAAACTTTTGCTTATTTTATACGTAAACACACTCAGCTCACACATATAAATAACCAAAAATACTTTCAAATTGATTAGAATCCACTTAAACAAGTAATTAAATACTTCTCAACATGCTTTAGCAGAGTGCACTTTTCTTTTGTTTACAATTTGGTTGCCAAATACACTACAGCTGATCGTTTGACACATTTACCAAGACTTGCTAGCAAAAAATCTTCGGACTAAAACTATATATCGCGAATCCCGTGTTTTTGACACTTTGAGGTTAGGATATCTTTTGACGAGCTGGAGAAATTCTGCATCCAGATTTGGATTCGGCACTAAAAAGGCTACAAGAACCGATAAATATTTCAAATTATTTCATGATTTATTTATATACATTTGAGAAATCTGAGTTCAGAAAAAAAGCACTAAAAAAGGCTCTAGGCACTAAACCATTTCTTTTGGCGTTTTAGTTTTCAAAAAGCACTAAATCTAGCGCTTAAAGCACGAAGTTGGCAACTATGCTTTTGACAGAGAGATAACCTTTTTTGCTCTCTTTTTTGTCCTCTCAATAGTCTGAGGACCGAGTACGGGATCGACGACCATTAAAAACTGACTTATTCTGACTATTTCTGGGATCTATTTACGGGATCGCAACTATTGTTTTCATGAGACTGGCTTTTAAGGTATTTCATCTGAAATAAGGCAAAATAACGTTTTTCATAAAACGATGTGTGGAGTTGTAATTCGATGAAATCCTTCACAGCAATCAAAAAGTGAATTTTGAATTTTTTATAAGTTAGTACTTTTTGTATTTCAGTGGCGATGTTGTTACATTATTTTGCATTTCAGGTGACGATATATAGGATTTCTGTTAAACAATGATACGCACCCATTTTGAAATTGCCACCAACTATAAGATAAAGTTTCTATAGCAGATTCACTATAGATCTGGATCATTGTTGCCGCCAGGGAACTTTTTCATGGACTTTCGTAAGGTTATTTAAGGCGGCAAACGATCACTAAACCATAAAACCATGTTTAAAATAAAAACCTAATTTTGGGCGGGACGAATTCCGGGTCTGCTAGTACTTCTACATTGATTGTAACGTATCTTCACAATGTGTTTTTATTCCGCAATCAAAGGGAGACAGTCTATCAAATAAATGTTTGCTTGTGTTAGTATAAATGTATATCTGTGAACTACTACAAACAAACAACAATCAAGTCTCCAGGAGCGGTTTAAATAAGAAATAATAAATAAATAAAAATAATTAAAGAAACAAAAATTGTTCCCGTTGTGGTAGCCGGAGGATTTGAATAGCAGCAAGAGATATATATAAAAGTTACACTTGAGGCAATCACCGTAACCACTCCTAAAAGATATACTGTGAGGTTGCGTGCATTCCTTTCCGCCGCCTTAGCCAACATGTAGCGTCTGCCCGTTTTCCCCGATACGGCTAATTTTCAAGTAATAAAATATACTGACGCATGCAATTCGATTTCATTTTCCTTACTTTTTTTCTTGTACAAACAGCACAGTTCCGCACCATTTTATTTTTTTTTTGCTTTTAAAATTAAAATTTAATTTTGTAAAGTATTGACGGTTACTGCACCTATCCCGATTTTTTATTATTTTTAAACGTCATTCTGAGTACATTGGCTGGTTGGTTTTCTCTTACCTTATATATCTGCACTAATGTTGGCGGCTGTACTTTCAACGTACTGCCAATATAGAAGTATTACATATATGACGTATAACGACCGTTTCATTTGTTAAATAAAAATAATTTGTAATGAATTTACCAGTCTCGGTTTTTGTGATTCATTTAATGAGTGGTGTAAAGCTTAGCTACGTATAACCTTTATTAACCAAAAAAAAATAATGATTTTACTAATCTTTCTTCTTGCGATTTCTTTAAATAAAACATGTGAACTTTAGTTGAAACATTTTAGCCGTTTTTAACGGTTTTGCTGCCAATATAGCCGGTCGGCCCAAAAAGTTCTAGCAACACTGGATATGTGGCACAAAAGGCACTACATATCACAAAATGCACGGGAATCATAAAATATTTTTTTCAAACATTTTATTCATATGTATGTATATCCAAGTATGTCTACTGTAGCATAAAAAAATTACAAGCATAACCGCTAGCTATGTTGCCTCGTTGGCAGTGCTGCCAACTATTTTCGATTAAAAAAAAACAGATTTTTATAAAAACCCGGTAGAAAAAAGCTAAGTTCCACACAACAAAAGCTGAAAACTAAATAGGTGTATATTAATATAATTTTAAGCAATTAATTTGAAACTCTGCTTGAATTAAAATTAATAATTGACTAATACAGCTGGGATCGAAGTTCTTCAGAAATGAATAAGTAATTTTTAAGCAAAACACCAAACCGACTTCAATTAACATATACAAATTTAAGATTACCGTTCATTTTCTCACGATCGAATGATCGGATCTGAACCAAATTAGTATGGGAGGTACCTTTCCTTAAAAAAAGAATTGTAGAAATCGGTTAACGTGGTGGAAAGTTATGCGGTAACATACATAAAAAAACATATTCCGACTAATTGATAACCTCCTGAAGTCGGCTAAAACTAAGAACAAAAGTTAAGATAACTATATATGGGGCGTTCCATACCAAAATGGACGGGTTCACACTCCATGTGTTTGATTTGTTTAAAATTTTTAGGGTTGATGCATAAACATACAGTGAAATCCGCTTATGGACACGATAACGAACCGAAAGTATCGATATGGTACTCATTTAAAGTATCGCTTTAAAAATATCGGGTACCCATTAATATCGGAATAAAAATACTCGATATTCCAAATATCGATTCCAAAAACCCAAAAATTTATCTGAATATAGGTCTCGCATATTGGCCACTGGAGTGTAGTGGTTAGAAGTGCGCAAACCTTGAAAATGAAAAACAGTTTCCCATAAAATACAATCGTCGGTCAGAGTCGACATAAAACTGTAGGCACCCCCTTTGGCAAACGAGATGCAAAGAGTGTATAAGCGGGTATCTGCGGGAAGTACCAGTTTAAACCGAAAAGAAGTTATAGAGCAGGAAAGATGTCGCTCTATGGAGATCTGGCAAAAGCGTTGGGATGAATCGGAAAAGGGTAGGTGGACTCATAAGCTTATTCCATGCATTAAAAACTGGCTGGAAAGAGCCCACGGAGAGTTAAACTACTACTTGACACAGTTTCTTTCGGGACATGGCCCCTACCGAGAGTATCTAAAAAGATTTGGGCATGGAGATTCCCCACACTGTCCGACTTGCACAGGCTTTGCTGAAAACGCGGAACACATAGTACTCTTTTGCCCTCGCTATGCCCCTGAAACCCGAAATATACTACAGGGTAGCAACACTGTAGACTACATGTTAGAATCAGCAGAGAACTGGCATAAAATGTGCGCACATATCTCTGGAATTCTTAAAGATCTAAGGCGATCTTAACAAGCTAGAACCGGTTAAATAACGTAGCGAGCCTGCTGGCCAACCAGCTCCGTGAGGTAATACCTTAAATGGCAGTGCCGCGGGGAGAGTGGTTAGTGGAGAGGTTTTAGTACGCAGGTGTAGCTGTGAGGCAACAATTCGTGCATACTACTATGCCGGTATAGTAGTACTCATGAGAGTTCCCTCTTCACGGGCGTCATCCAAGAAAAAAAACCCCCCTTGTGCCACAACATTAGGGCCCACGCGACAAATCGGAGGAGAAGTTCGGCCAAACACTAAGATATTGTGTAAGCGCCGGACTTTATTATTATTACAACACGTAGAGATTGAGGTGTTGACTTGTTGAGTTCAAATCCCACCACATGCAATCCTAACCGTAGTAGAAATTTCTGCACTTTAAAGCCCAATTAATTAAAAACCCCTCATGCGGTATCACAGAGGAACCTGAGTCTAAGTGTGTCCTACTTCTGGACTGCCGCCCAACCTAACCTAACCTAAAGCCCAATTTATATCGGGAAGAATTGTTACATGCCAACCTTATATGCGTGCGTAAAAAGCTAACTCAAATTCCAAGATTTGTCTTGCGTGACATTTCGATTTGACGTTTATGCTCAATTGGCCTTTTGGCGCGACTATGAATTCAATTTTTTCTAGGCAAACTTCTGTAAATTTGACAGTAATGCAACTCTGAGAAATCACGTACGCAAATTGATTTGGGCTTATCAAATGAGAAAAACTTGCGTGCGTGCGTAGAAAAACTCTCGCCGGTAATATTAGGTTGAGCTGTTAATAACATTATCCTTCACAGAGAAAAAAAACGCATTGTAAGAATAAAAATCTTTTATTTGATTACCGTTTAAAAATGTTCGTATTTAAATCAAGTGAAAAGTCTTAACCAAATGGATTTTTCCATTATACATACACTACAATGGAAATATTCAATTCCCGTAATAAAATGAAGCATTTTTTGCTACACGGATGGAGTTTTGCACGTCTCGGATGCTTTTTCATATGTAATTAAGAAAGTATATGTATACAAAGCATGCACAGCGGTGACAACGCATACACACATACATGGTATGACATTATGCATTGATCGCGCGCTATGATGTTGATTCAAACTCAACATTTGAAAATACATTTACGTGCATGGTTGTAGCTGAGTGTGCAAAGACGCTCGATACAATTGGTTGCGGCCAAGAGGACGGAACATAAAATAAATTTTTTTTTCTTCTTCTTAATTACGAAAAAGCATCTGTGCACTTCATAGCCACATATTTAAAACGTATATACTCAAATTTAAAACGAGTTGGGTTGGTACTCTTTCATATGCGTACTTTTTCAATGTAGCACGTTTTTTTAATTCTAAAATTGTTTCCCCTCAGTGTTGGAATGTGAGTTTATGACATTCGATACGATACTAGGGTTCTGGTACTCGATTCCAAAAAATATCGTTTTAAACTATCGAGTAGAAAATATCGGTATCGAATGCCAAAAGTATCGATATGGTATCGTATCGTATCGAAATTCGTGTCCCTAAATCCGCTTAGGTACCCACCCGCTTAAGTACCTAACCCTCTTAAGTAACCAACCTTTTTGGGCACCGTGAACTTTTTTATGTAATCTGAAGAAAATCCCTCCCTTAATTACTTCGCAATTTTTAGGAAACTTTTTTGAGTTTTTTTCTAATTTTTGCTAAAATTTTACTATTTAGGTTTATATGGCTTTTGTTACAGATTCAGCTTTATAAAAAAAGGAATGAAAAAAAATATAGAATGAAAAAAACATTGCGAATACTGTAATAATATCACTGTGTGATTTTGAGTGTGGGTCACTGTTCATACATACATATGTACCTCATATATATGTATAATAAAATTTTCTGTTGGTAAATGGTTCTGAGCATTTTTTGAATGAGTAGATGTTTTTTCAGTGTTTCATTGTAGAATTAAAAATTAACGATTTATATCGATATATCGAGTTTTCGTCTCTTAAATATCGAAAATATCGAGTACGGCGAATATCGATACTTTTACAGCTCTAGGCTGCGGTAATACTGTCTTTGTGCTCATATACCAGGCATGGGCAGAGAACGAGCACACGCTCAAAGAGCGTAAACATCGCGTGTACGCCCTGCAGCGGAAATACTAGTACAGAACTAGTGAGTTCACCAGTTTTCGGGAGTCGAATACCGGTACCTTGCAAATTTACCAGCCATGCTTTCTACTGTCGCATTTAACATGGAGTTGTCCTAGGAGGTGACAATTGGACAATTGACTCCCGCTGCGTAACTTTTCACTAGTACTCGTAGTAGTAACATGTGACCTGTAACCGAACCACTTTTTTTTCGTTGTGCACTTCACAGATACTTTTTCATATTTAAAAAAAAAATATATATATATATATAGATTTTAAATTATATTGCTCTGCATAGTGAGATTTGAACTTGAACACTTTCGGCCGCAACTAATTGCAGCCAGCATCCTTGCGCACTCAGCTACAGGCACAACATGTATGTAAGTGTGCTTTCAAATGTTCGCTTTGAATCAAGCCAGGCGACGATTTGTCAAATTTAAATTTGTCTTTGCTATTTATTTTCCTGTGATCGAACGTACAAAAGCTGCAGCGTGACGTTGTTTGAAATTTTATTATTGGGCTGAACTGATTCTTGATAATTTTAACAAAATTGTCATTTAAACGCGCTATATCTCAGTCGTTTGTGTATCGATCGATTTGAAATTTTCACACAATAAACTACAAACTATTCCAAAAATTTAAGTTTAACGCCACTTCTTAATACTCACTACAAATAAAACTACAGGTTTATAACTTTTGTATGAGAATTAAGAGGCTGTTTGTTTTCAAATGCAAAATTTGTGTTATAAAGTTTTAAATAAATTTTTTGTTTTAAAACAGTGTTGTAGATGACTATGTAGGGAAGTGTTTGCGAAAGTTTCAGAATTAAACATCAAGTAGTTGCAAAGTTATAACAATATTATTATGACTCACACGGATAGCAGATTAGCGCGCTGCGCTCTAAACGGCTTTATAACTCGGAAAAGTAAAATAAAAGTATAGTTTAAAAAAACTAAAACCTCGCTATTAAAATTTCCATTCGTACTGTCATCAGGTATGCAACTTGAGAATGGAAATCGCTGCATCTTTTAGGCGCATCAATATTACATAGTTACATCCCGAGCTAATAGAAGCGAGGGAAAAAGTCCTTTTTTATTAGTGAAAAAAATACTTGATCTTTCGATTGAGATAACTAAAAACAATATTAAAAATGTCCATAATTCAGAAAAATTACAAATAAATTTTCGTTCAGAATTTTCACCATGAAAATCTATGAAAAAAAATCTTAGAAATCATAGTTTTCGAATTATTTTTCCTATTTTCTGTCTGCTTCGCAGCTAGTCGAAAAGTAGCTTGTTTTGCACCGCTCAGGGCGCTGGGACATTTGACGTAAACTGCCCCCAAAATAATTATGGAAATAGTAGTTATGTAAAAAGGGGTATCTACATATGTATTACTTTATTTTTGTTTTTTTAAGTCCGATATTTGCGTGGTGGTCACACGAGGGAAACAGAACGTGGATAAGTATTCAAAATTTATTATTTGTATTTAAGTGATAAATAACAAATTCCTTATGTAAAAAGGGAGCACTATTATATTAAAACGACCAATAACCTTTAGAAAGTGCAATATGTTACCAATAGCTCGATTTATTACTACCCATAATATGCTATTAGAACTAGTAATGTAACTAGTACGTAAGCGACAATTGTCTCCGAGCCCGCTGCAGGGCGTATACAAGCAAGAGCGTAACAATGAGAACGCGGCAGCACGCAAAATGAATTAGGCACACTTACACATTCTCACTTTTAGCGAACGCTTATTTGTGGTAGTGCCCACCTCTGTCATATA